TCCATCATATAAATATTTTTTCTTTGTTTTATTGAAAGGGGGTTTTCTGGATATTATAGTAATTTTATTAGTTGAGATCATGAGTCCAAGAGATAATGCTTGGAGTTCTTATGAGAAGCAGTGGACAGTAGAGTTCAACCAAGTCTGTTGTGTGATAGTAAATTACTGAAGACATTGGTGTATGTGTTGCTCAATTTTGTGGATTAGTTGAAGTTAGACATTTACACTGTTGGATGCCGGCTGGCTCAGTGTTCTGTAGGTTAAGCGCTCTCGCGCGATACTGATAGGTCCTGGGTTCGAATCTCGTGAAGTGGGATTGTAGATGCACACTGTTGAGGAGTTCTACAATGGGAAGAAATGACCGTTCAGTGTTTCCAGGTTTTACCATGGTTGGTCTAGCTTCCATTGACTGATGATTTTAACTATTAAGATTTTTATTTGTTAAAATGAATGGTGAATAAATTCCGTCTTATTGATTATTATAAACACGGTGTTATTTATGTACGAAAGTGCATCAGATTATTGATTCATATCATAAGTAAACATATAACTTCAATTGACTAGTAACCAATATCATGACAGTTTGGTCGTTATTGCTAATAGAATACTAATGAACAACTTAGGAAATAACTGTGAGTCTAAGTGACTGAACATTCTTAACATTAGTATTCTTTTTGTGTTAACTGACTGGAGGAAATCGTGAAGAACCTAATCCATCATGGTTTCCAGGTAGATGAGACTTGTAAATAATACATATTTCACTTTATGCCAAAATTAATGAAATCAATGAACTGTGGAACACTACCACCCAGTCAAAAAGGCCACATTTTATTCAATGACAGACAATTTATTCACACAAATGTTGGTACAAAAAGGCACCAACTCCATATGCGCCATACAATGACAATGAGAATGTAATATACATATTACAAAAAGGGGAACAATAACGAACAGAAATTAGTGTATGTGTTATATCTAGAGTTTAGATTCTTGCTATGCCGCGTACTACAAGGTTACTTGAACGATTGAACCCGCAACGTCGCAAGATAGAAGACAAAACAGTAGTCAGTAGGAATGTTATTCCCAACACAGTGTCAAAATATAGTACAAAAATCTCATGTATTTATAGTTTTTGGCTGAAAGTAAATCGTCATTTCGAACAGCCAATAGGCACATAGGGGACCCTTCTTATTCATCCGATAGGGAAGCTACACGTCGACATTCCATAATGTTCCTCTAGCTGTTATTGGATGGAATGTCTTCGGCTCTTTCTGGTCTTCTTGAGGCTTCCCTGAATTTTCCAACGAGCCATCCTTACAGTATGATAGTGTTATTAGAAGCAGTTTAGTTAGCAAAGGTACGACCAAAAAGAATTCCTCCAGTTAAAGAAGTTACGTCCCTTTTTTATTTAGAAATTTAATGTAACAGAAGGATCACCACTGGTTTTTATTCTGAGCCACATCTGATAACGTCCCTAGCCTCTATGTTGGACCATCTCTAGAACCCCAACCAGCGAGTCGGAAAGAGCCAACAAACGCCAGTCCTATACAGCTTCTCTTCATACCACGACAACCTGTCATACTATGACCATTTCTCCGCTTTCTTCAACCAGTCCCAGCGTCAGCAAATAATGTACGACGAGGAATTCTCTGGGACGACATTCGTACAACGTGTCCAAGCTACCGAAGTCGATGTTTCAACATAGTGACACTGATTGAATTATCGTCGCTGTGCCCGGACATACGATGTCAAAACTCTGCATTACTAACATGGTGTTGCCACTGGATGTCACCAACCTTTCAGAGACAACGATGATCAAACACAGAGAGACGTCTAACATACTCAACTCAGAGAGGCCAGGTTTCACAAGCATAGAGCAAAACTGCTCTCACCCACGAGTTGTATGTCTGACCTTTTACAGTCCAACTAGCATCATGAAGGCACCAAAGATGGCCCAGATTGGCACAAGCCGCTCTGGCTTTGACTACACGTGCATCGATCTCATCACTCATGTCACCCCCAGCACTTATTCAGCTACCTAGATACATGAACTACTCGACTACTTCTATCTACTCACCACTGAAGGTGAGTGTAGGATCAGGGTTCTTTTAGTCTTGTAAAAGTACATTGCACTTCGAAGGTGCAGAGCACATGTCATACCTACGGACACTAATTACCAACTGGCTAAGTGCGGACTTCATGGGTTGGGTATTATAGCACAGCAAGATAGTATTATCCTCATACTCAAAGTTGAGAAGTCTTTCTCCAGACAACAGATCCACACCATCACCACCTGCATCCATCACAGCTGTTTCCCGAATGTCATCGATAGGAAAGTTGAGGAGAGATGTTGAGAGTGGGCAACCCTCTCTGACCCCACTGCTTGAATGGAACAATAGAGAGAGGTGGTTGTATGGTGGTCGATATTCGATATTATCCCTAAACTTCGTATATTGTTCGTCTTGATAACCGTTACTCGATAACGTCCTAACGGTGTATAAATTAGAAGGCGAATATGAAGGGTTGATTGCGTTTATTACTGGTCCACACACAGATATCCGAAATTACAGGCACGTTAAGCAAGCGTGAAAGAGCAGTGCCCTAAAGCAGGCGAGTGAGTCGAATGAGTGAGTACAATGCAGCGTAGTGCAGAGCAGTGAACATGATTAAGATGTACATATAAATGCAAGTGGAAATGTATGAAATGATCAAACCAGTAAGCATTTATCTGTCAACATCGTATGGATTACCAAAGTTAAACGAATTGTGGATCCCATTAAGACCAATTTTAGATATGTATAACTCTCCTTACCATACAAGAGCTAAAGGATTGGTAAATACATTAAAACCTCTCCACGGAACACTTGTAAAACATAGTGTTAAGGATGTATGCTAATTTGTCGACGAAATCAAAAATACGAATACTTTGCGACTAAAGATAATGTCTTTGGATGTGACATCATTATTCACTAATGTCCCACTCATAGTGACCATAGAATATATAGGTGAACAACTGATTGAAAACGAAGTTGAAACCACAGTTTCTATTTATGTTATAAAAGATTTATGAATGTAAATTTCAAGTTTAGCGGAGAAAATAAGACAAACGGATGATGTTGAAATGGGTTCACTACTGGGCCCAGTACTAGCTGATGTTTTTATAACCAAACAAGCAAATGGTCCACTCAAAAAAAATTATTTAAAAATTCACATTTTACTGTCGATGTACGTGTGACATGTTCAACCTATGTAAAGATAACACATCACAACAACAGGCTCTTAGGCAGTTTAATGAAGTGCATCCAGTTATTGAGTTTACATCCGAAGAAGAAAGTGATGGTCTATAAGCCTTTTTGGACGTTCTCTTAACTGAGAGAGCGGATGGATCATTAAAAAGGAACTTAAACAGAAAAAATACATGGATTGGGCAGTATACGCATTTCCTTAGTTTTGTAACTCTACAGCACAAACCAAACTAGATCAAAACCCTTAGTTACCAAATACGCAATTTATGTTCTACGGATATAGTTGAACATGAGCTAAACACCTTGCATAACACTCTTAGGGAGAACGGCTACCCTAGATAGTTTATAATTACATACATGATCACAAACGTGAAAATATGCTATATACAAACGGTGAATAAGAAATCCCTGTTCATGCAACTACAATTCAGAAGGGATGCGACTAGTGAAATATTAATCCAGAGATTACACAGGACAGTACAAGAATCTACGAATTAGTGTTTTCTACGCACTCAATGATGACACAGAGGTTAAAGGATGAATTACCTAGAATGACCACCTCATTTTGTATTTATCAGTTCGACTGCTCCTGTGGAGAAAGTTATATTGGTCGAAGTTCTGGAATTTAAATTTTCGTGTTCACAAACACCTCCCAGCGTGGCTAAGCAAGGGTTTAGTGAAGAAAGTGAACAGCTCAATATTATTAAATTTAGCGCAAACTGGTCGTAGTGCTAATATGAACCAATCCTTTTCAATTATTTGTAGGGTCAGTAATATTTTGCCAAATCTTGTCAAGCTTAAAGTCATTCAGACGGCTGAAACAGTAGCCATCCGAATGAAGAAACCGGAGCTATGAGTACAGAAGAAATATCTCCAACCCCTCCTCTGGGCAACCTCAAGGTCAATCAATCAATAGTGATCTATACTATTGAATGATCTAGCTTGACTATCGTACTTACGAACTTAAGTAATCAAATGTAATTGTCTCTGTTACCTTTGTTCATAGATCTTTGTATTATTATTACTATTAGTTAAACATCATTATTATTCTCCCAAATACATGACTCATTCACTTTGCATTCATCCCTCCTTATTATGTCTTACTAATTTTTCCACCAAACATTTGATCGAACTGTAATTGCACTATTATTTCTCTCATCCTATCCGATCCATATTTATTTTGATCATGCATCTCAACATTTTCACTTAACATATATGCAGATTCAGGTTAACATTCTATAACAGTCATATCAACATTATACAATCTTATTCTATTTTGTTTGACAATCCCGAATTCACATTGTTTGAACGATGTACTTTCCTCTTAACCTGGCCATTTTTCGGATTATTAATTTGGATACATTATAGTCACTATGAACCAACACATGTCGCCTTCGAATGTCAGCGATCCTTTTCAGACAAAGATGACTGAACCCTCTGCATCGGAAAGTTGGACTCAAAATGACCACATCGAGATCACCTACCGCTGGCGTGGTTGTTTACATGACCCCCACTCCTTTTGGAGTACCTATGTGGACTCAGATCATGCCCTTGTTTGTGCTAATTTTTCAGTGGCTAACAAATTCATTGTCCTAAACGGATAAATGTCAGCAGATTGGCTGCATATTCTGTTGCAACTAAGTGTCAAGCCAAGCTATGGTTCAAGACTAGCTGTCAACCTACCGAAAAGTATAGATGAACATTACCTCCTAATGCCCTGGTACGATCGAGAGTGGGAAGAGTCAGCTCTCCCTCTCCAAATGCTCTCACATGACCACATGCATACAATTACTCTCAGGTAAGTCCTACTCAATACCTCGAGGCAGGGATGTTGTTTACGAAATTGACGACACGAAAAGCGAATGCCTGGCTCCGGGTTCGGTCCCTTAAGAAAACCGCCTGCTCCGGTCTAAGCACTCGGGGAGTATTACAGCCCATACACAAAGCAAACAAAACGACAATTAATATTGGAAATACAATTCTAGCTTCAATTAAAATTCCGACAATTCACATTCATTTTTAAATTTTTTTCAAACTACATCACTTATCTACTCTCTTCTATTCTTACATTTGTGTATTCTTATTTTCTAACTTATACAGTAGCTCGCCCATGGTAGAAGCTCTGTTCTATCTAAACGATCTCGAGTCACTGTCTGGTCGAAAGTGAATCCTTCCATCGAATATATATATACTCTACATTTAAAAATGAAAACCAGAATACACTTTTAGTCAGTTAATTAGAAAACAGTTAAAATATATGTTTAATACATTATTTTAGAAAACACTAATGATTATAATTTACAGTTGGGGGAAATTAAAAATAGTTTGACGTGAATGAATCTTCTTGTTTCAATTATTGATGACCTAAACAACTTCAAGTAATTCTTGTGGTAATGGATTTTTTGGATGTTTATTTTCAAAATGTTGTTTATATGTTTTTACATCAGGTACTTGTGTTTTACATACAGGACATGTATGATGAAGTGCTTTAGCAGCAGCTTTTTTTGAATCAATAGCGGGTTTCTTTAAATCAGCTTGTTTTTTAGCATTTCTCTGTTGACTTTGAATCTTTTGTTGACCACGTGCCATATTTTAAAACTACAGGAATAAAAGAAAATAAAAGGATAGTCCAGACAAATTAAAAAGCCATACTGAATAACTGAAGGTTAATTAACAGAAAGCTAATGGCTATATTATCATAATAATATTATTATTATTATCATATTATTTCGAGGAGTAACAGGCATAAGTAAGTAATGTTAGATGCATTAACTGAATCAGTCTAGTCGAATTCAATGAGCTCATTCTGCTGCATACATTGTCAACATCTTGTGCAAGACTTTACCAAGTTGAGTAACATCTCTGACTATTTGTTTGATGTAACTTATTTTGTTCTTACTTTCTATACATTCTGGAAATCCTGTTCCTTTTTATGTTTTCGTATTGGGTTCAAATCTTTCTGCTTTTCTAGGGTAGTACTTACTGTTGTCAGATGACCACTTACAAAAACTATATTTGTATTTATGTTGAGTAGACCGAATTAAGTTCGTCAAACCCCAGAACTTTGTATTTAATAGACTTCAGTCAGTCAGTCAGTCACAACGTAGAACTTCGTACGTACGTACATCAGTTCGAGTTGCCATACCACATTAGCACAGAGATGCAGTTGTCGATTCAAATCCCATAGTGGTAGAAGTAGTAAGAGTATAATCAGAAATCCAAAAGATTAGGGTTTGAAGAAATTATTGAAGGAGTATAGTACAGTGAAATAAATTTGGAAAGAGAAAAACATAAAGACATGAGGAATTCAGAAGATTAGAATTTGGTAGAACACAAAGAGTGGATGCATCTTCGCCATTGCAAACGATTTTGAGCCATGTCATTCAAGGTCTCTAACTATCGGTTGCTGTCATCTCGCGAATCCCAACCAGGTAGTCTACACCTACCAACGTGGCCCAGTCCACTTGTCACTGACTTCATGGATTTGTGCCACGTTTTGGTCTGGCCGCCCATAGCTTTCTTCCAACCTACTCCTACACCATGAAGCATTGCACGTCGGGGCAGTCGGTGGTCGGGCATACGTAACACATGTCCCAGCCATCTCAACTGATGAAGTTTCACTACTTCATCAATCGATTTGCCATCCCTACCTAGTACTCGTTTCCTAACAACTGCATTACTTACCCGGTGGTCCCAGGATATACGAGCAATGCTTCGAAGACACCTATGATCGAACACTAGTAGCCTACGAATATCCTCTACTCTTATTGGCCATGTTTCACTGCCATAGAGTAGGACAGAGCGAACTGCTGCACAGTAAACCCGTCCTTTGGTTGCTAGACGGATATCTCGCCTACGCCATAAATGACGCAAGTTGGCGAAAGCTAGACGAGCCTTCTGTATCCGTGCTGAGATTTCGTCACATACCAGACCACAAGGGCTGATGAGACTCCCAAGATAAGTGAAGTGGTCTACACGCTCAACTACTTCACTCCCTATCATTAGTTCAGGTGTCGATGCAACCCAATCCTGAAGTAACATTTTGCACTTCGAGGGAGAGAATCGCATTCCGAACATGCCTGCATAGTTGCTTATAGTGGTCAGAAGACTTTGCATGTTGTCAGCGTCTTCACCGAGTAAAACTATGTCGTCGGCGTATTCTAAGTCAACAAGTGAGCCTCCTGGTAAAAGTTCAACTCCTGGAGGTTTAGCTGATGAAAGTGCTATCTCTAAAAGTATGTCAATGACAAAGTTAAACAAGAATGGGGAGAGTGGACAGCCCTGACGAACGCCACTTGTGGTAATCAGTTCTGATGACAGTTCGCCATAGGCTCTAACTCGACTAGTTGTGTTCGAGTAGAGAGCCTTTATGAGGTTAATGTACTTCTTTGGTACTCCTTTCAGTGACAAACATTGCCATAGAACCTCACGATCAACGGAGTCAAATGCCGCCTTAAGGTCAAGAAATACTACTATTGTGGGACGTCTGAATTTGTGTCTATGTTCTAGAACCTGACGTAGGGTGAATATCTGGTCTATGCAACCACGTCCAGGTCGAAAACCAGTCTGGTTTTCTCTAGTCTGCTCTTCACGAGCTTTGGTTAGGCGACCTAGTATTATTGAAGCTAATATTTTAGACACTATATTAGTCAAACTGATCCCTCTGTGATTGTCACAAGAGGACTTTTGTCCTTTCTTATAGACTGGCACAATCAGTGATTGGGACCAGTCAGATGGAATTACGTCCAGTTCCCAGATTCTACCTAAGACCTCAGTCAATCTCACTGCTAGTACTGGACCACCATCCTTAAAAATCTCAGGGGTCAACCTGTCAGGGCCTGCTGCTCTCCCTCGCTTCAGATTTCCTATAGCTTTTTCAACCTCACAGAGGGTTGGAGGACTTACATCAATTTGCCATTTAGGACGACTGGGGATCGTGGGTAATTAATAGACTTATTTAACTTATGGGCAGTCACACACAGTAGTACCATATAAAATAAATAATACAGACCTCTAGTCATTTGTTTTTAAAGCAAAAATCAAGAATATCTCTGGAATAACCTCAAACTGTCAAAATTGTTTGTCATTTCGCTGAAGTGAGTTGGATCAACACAAATTTCTCTCAAGTAACATGTTTCGGTTCTGATTAACTAATCTGTACAAACTGAGTATCTAAGTACAAAGTTCCGATGCTTACCACATTATTAAGGACTTCGCATGCATCAATGCAAAGTCCCTGACTTGTGCAAAGACCTTCAGTTTAAAAGATGCCACAGCATTTTGCATTTGAAGTTTGTTACATTGATCACAAAAAGGTCACATAAAGTCCTGAATTCCTAAACTTCGTGAAACAGTTAAGGTTTAAGTGGCGAGCCTATAATTTATGGACGGGCTATGGTTGATACTAGAGCAGGGTCATAAATTAGTTTGAGGAATTAAGATAAGGAGTAAAAGTTAGGAGTCACGGGTTGGGATTAGGATTAGTTTTCGTCATGAACTGACACTAGCCTTAGTGTCGAAATGCTATTGAGCCACGTGGTAAGGTTTGTTTCGTGGATAGACCTAACAGTTAACTGTCAGATAACATAACAATTGTTATGATTAATCTGAATGATTACCTCGTCTATTACAGTTTATAGCTATCGATCATATCACAAGAATAATACACATAAGTAGGTAAAAAGTGCACCATATAAGTGTATCGAAGCAAGACATAAAAAAGATTGAAACACATGTTGCAGTCAGAGTAAAATGGTATAGAACATACTAATTAGTATTGTTTAAACAATATTTAGCTCAACAACACCACCTACAGATGGGTCTTTGAGTTTACAGACATCAAAAACATCTCTGGTCAACAATAATCAGAATAACGGCGATAAGCATAATTCAATGACTACTTCGTTTCGGGATCAGATACAAAGCTACACTTCGCAAAAATGGGTCTACACAAACCTTGACCTTCAATTCTGAACTAGCCGCCTTGTGAGGAGATTGTATTCCAGATTCAGATTTGTAGTGTAGTGACCTACTTTTATGAAAAGGACGCGATTGGCATAATGGGAACAATTATTATAATTAAGAATGGTACCAGTGATTGTTTTACTGTACCCCCGTGATGCAACCGGTTAACGCGTTCGTATTTTAACAGAAAGGTTGTTGGTTCGAGCCTACCCGGAGGCGGTAGTCACTTTGTGCTCGCTTCAATCTCACTCAAATGTACGGAGAGCTAACATATCAGCTGATCAGTAGTGTGCTGCTAAGACATTTGCTAGTAGATACTAACTCATCATTTGAAGAAGCATGGTATATGTTTAAAGGCAAGATTAGTTCAGTCACGTCCTCGTTCATACCATACCTGGTACCACGTAGACCGAATATTAGTCCACCGTGGATAACCAAAAAAATCAAGAAACTTTTTAGACGTAGGAAAAAGCACTGGAATGTGTTCGCCTATACAGTACAGATCCAGTTATTGTAAGATTACGAATGCTTGTAAAGCGTTAGTAAGACTAGACGATCATATGAAAAACAATTGCGATAATGCAATGAGAAGACGAAGTTTATCAGAGTTATGTGACATATTTGCACAATACATTTCGAACAATCTGATCACACATTTACTTGTTAAGATATTTTATATGAAAATTAAAAGGTCAACTAGACAGTTTGAAGTAAGCCGTAACAAAGAAAATAAATAAAGTACACAAAATCAATGTGATAACCACTCTCGATAATGAATCAGCATGATACGGTGGATGGATTCATAGATAGCATAGTAGGTGACTTAGATTTTATTCTCGTCTATACTGACGATCTGCTAGTCCCATCATCAGACGTAGATGAACATTATCAGCACTTAACACTACTATTCCATCGCCTTTCGGATAACGGAACGATAGCCAACCTGGTTAAATGTGAACTTAGCAAACTGGAAAAAATTCTTAGGTCACATTACTAAGCAAGAGGGTATTTTACCTTGTGAAGACAAAATACGTGCAATAGTGGAATACACATTACCGTCCACACACAAGGAACGGAAGGCATTTCTTGGTCTGGTTAACTTCTACCGACGTTTCATCTCACACGCGGTAGAACGGTTACGACCACTAACCGACTTACTTCGAGGTAATCCACGCAGATTGGAATGGAACGATACCGCATGTATAGCATTTTCAGATATCAAAGCAGCTGTAGCCCAAGCCACACCCCTCGCTAATCTTCACTCACCAGCTACGTTTAGTATGGCGGTTCGTGCACCGGATTTCGCTATAGGAGCCGGAAGTTGGTGACCTCCCGATTTTTTTTCTCACGACGCCTCACTCTCACGGAAACGAGATAGAGCGCTTTTGATCGAGAACTGCTTGCAGCCTACTGTGTCATCAAACATTTCCGGCACTCTGTAGAAGGTCGCGATTCCATCCTATTCACCGACCACAAGCCTTTAACGTATGCTCTGCATACCAAGTCTGACCGCTACTCACCACAAGTGTGCAGACATTTGGACTATATCCCTCAGTTCACTACAGACCTTCGTCAAGTCAAAGGCAAGCTAAACTGTGTTGCCGATGCTCTGCCATGCATCCTGGAGAATGCAGTTACTTTACCGGTGCTTGATCTCCCTGCTATGGCCGTCGCCCAAGCAAGTGATCCCTCCTGTACTGAAGCACAACATTCTACATCTCTTCAGTACAGGGAAGTATCTCAGCTACTAGCTCAGGTGCTAACCTGTGTGATACTTCTACTGATCTTCTCCAACCCATGGTACCTTCTGCTCATCGTCGTCTCGTATTTGGTGCCCGGCACGGACTGTGTTGTCCAAGTATCGCAGCCACATTACACCTCATCGCTGCACGAAACGTCTGGCCGTCCATGAATAGAAATCTCCATATGTGGGTGAAGCAACGTTTACAATGTTAACGATCGAAAGTGCACAGGCATGTAGCTGCCCCCATTAGCACTTTCGCTACGCCTGGTGCCCGCTTCTATCACGTTCATATGGACATTGTGGAACCATTGACACCACCTCACGGGTATGATCATATACTCACGCACATCAATCGTTTCACAAGATGACCCGAAGTTATTCTCATCACATCTATTACGACGGAGACAGTTGCTCAACGCCTCGTAGGACGATGGATAGCTCTGTACGGTTGTCCCTCGACTGTCACGACCGACCGAAAACAACAATTTGAGTCAGAATTATTCTACTCGCTGACCCGGCTACTTGGTGCGCACTACCGCCTACTACCCAGCATCAAATGGTTTAGTTGAACGGTTCCATCACCAACTTAAAAATGTTCTTCGAGAACACGAAAATGACAACTGGTACGAAACCTTACCGCTCGTCCTCCTGGGTATCAGAACGAGCTAACAGGCAGATATTCTATGTTCCGCCGCTGAACTCGTCTACGGCGCGACATTGCTTCTGCCTGAGGAATTTTTCACACCACGGAGCAGTAACAATCTGAGCAGATCAGACTACGTTCAATGATTGTCTGAATATATGCGAACACTGCCCCTGGTGTCAACTCGTATACAACATTGACAGGTCGCTCTCCCTCGAGAGTTATCTACCTATTCATATATTTTCAAACGAGTAGATTCAGTACGCTAACCTTCGCAGCAGCTTTCCAAAGGAACTTTTCACGTGATTTCCCTTTATGAAAAGACCTTCATGGTTGATCGACATGGCCGCGTTGAGGTGGTCAGCATTGATCGTCTCAAGCCAGCACAAGTCGATGACAGCACCCAACCTGACAAGCTGAGACTCAATGCTAGACCCATCAAACTTACCAACTAGATCCCTACATCTACTTCGGACCCCCACTATGCACACCAGGGACCTCATTTTCACGTCACAGTCAACATCACGTGTCTTCTGCACTATCTACGGGCGAGAATTCAGTCTCACGTCCAGATCGATAGACCACGCCAACCTTGACTTCAGATGAGATTGAAGTCTCACGAGATACGTACGAGAAAACCGTCTCACATTCCACTCGCCGAGTACACGTAGCCGTAAGTTTGCGCGACTAACCTCTCAACCAACAACGGATACGGTGTAGGATTCTATCCCTATATTCAATCAGTCAGTCAGCTACAACGTAGGACCAGGCACACATATGCATCGGTCCAAGTTGCCATACCTCGTTAGCACAACAAGATCAACACCGGTCTCATAGAATTAATTAATTTAGTGATGGTAGTATACAAAGAAAGATTGTCTATAAGGATATAAAACAGGAAGGAAGAGAGATATGAAGCAATTTTAATCTCAAGGTTTAAGGGAAGATAAAGAGTGTATACATCTACGCCACTGTGATCGATTCTGAGCCATGTCAACCAGAGACTCCAACCATTGGTTGCGATAGTCACGTGAACCCGAAACAGGTAGTCTACATCTGCCAACATGGCTCAGACTAGAAGTTAGTGACTCCAAGCACTGATGCCACGTTTTGGTTTGGCCGCCCCTAACTCTCTTCCAACCATCCCCTATACTGATCAGCATTGCGCGTCGTGGTAATCGGTGTTCAGGCATACGTAACACATGGACTAAGCATCTCAGTCGATGAAGATTCATGACCTCATCAACTGATTTACCATCATTCCCTAATACCCTGTGTCTAACCTCACTATTACTTACCCGGTGATCCCAGCAGATGCGAGCAATATTGCTAAGGCATCTGTGGTCAAATACCAGTAACCTACGAGTATCTTCCATTGTTAATGGCCATGTTTCACAGCCGTAAAGTAGAACAGAGTGAACTGCTGCACAGTATACTCGTCCCTTAATTGATAGACGGATATCTCGTCTTCACCATAGGTGACGTAAGTTGGAAAAAGCCAAACGAGCTTTCTGAATCCGTGCTGAGATTTCGTCAGACACCAACCCATTAGGACTGATCAGACTTCCAAGATAAGTGAAGTTGTCGACGCGTTCGACTACTTCAATCCCTATGCTTAGTTCAGGTGTTGACGCAGGCCAGTTCTGGAGCAACAACTTGCATTTAGAGAGGGAGAAAGGCATTCCAAATATCCTGGCATTGTTACTCAGTGCTAACAGAAGACTCTGCATTTTTTCAGCGTCTTCACCAAACAGGACTATGTCATCTGCATATTCTAAGTCGATAAGTGGATCTCCTGGTAGATCAATTCCTGAAAATTTAGTCGACGAGAGTGTTATTTCCAGCAACAGACCTATAATGAAGTTAAACAAAAATGGAGATAGTGGACAGACTTGACGGACACCACTTGAGGTTGTAAAATCATATGACAGTTCGCCATAAGGTCTCACTCGACTGGTAGTGTTCGAGTAAAGAGCCTTCACAAGGTTTATGTACTTCTGAGGTACACTTTTCAATGACAGACACTGCCACAGAACCTCTCGGTCTACAGAGTCAAATGCTGCTTTCAAGTCAAGAAAGACTATCATTGTCGGACGCCGATAAGCATGCCTGTGCTCTAAAACTTGACAAATGGTGAATGTGTTCGATACAGCCACGACCAAGTCTGAAGTCAGCCTGATTTTCTCGTGTTGGCAGTTCACGGGTTTAGCCAGAATATTAGTCAACGTAATCGCTAAAATCGGACCACCATATTTAAAAACCTCTGGAGCCAATCCATGTGGACCAGCTGCTCTTCCTCGTTTCAGGTTACTTATAGCCTTTTGAACTTCAAGTAGGGTCGGGGGGCCTACTTCAATGTTCCATTCAGGTTTTCTAGGAATAGTGGGTAGTTGTGCAGTAGCGGAAGGCCAGCTAAACTGCTCCTTAAAGTGTTCAGCCCATCGTTCTAAACGTTTGGGTTGAGAGCAGATTAGGGTTCCGTCTTTTTCCGAGATCGTCTCACTTACACTTGCCTATAGCCGCTGCCTTTTCCATCCCTTTTGCTTTCGTTGCCCACCACTGCTCACGATCGTTCCTTAGACTTTTAGTTAACCTAGATCTAATTTGTTTACCCTCCTCATCGTGTTCAGAGCCTGATGGGATGAGTTTACGCGAATCCATCAGTGAAATAGACTTAGAGGAAATCAACTGGTTTTTTGGAGCCTTATGGTTTAAATAACGAATAGATGTTA